GCATAGGTTACCTGAACCCAGCTTGAGTACCACCAGGTAGTCACTGCAACACTAAATATCCGGGTTATGTCCACCGTCACTGGGACCGTAGTATCACTGTCCCCTACCCCTTGAGTAGTGGTGTGCAAGCGAGAAGGCTGCATGCACCTGTGAACAAAAATGTACCACACTTCTTACACTATCACAACCTTCCACATTAACACAGCTGGCTATTTGCAACTTCAGCCTGCAACAAACACTGACAACTCAGCAGAAGGCAACATCTGAGGCGATAAGGCATATTGTAGGTTGTTTCAACGAAGTATTACTAGTACTATGGAAGAAAATGCTTTTCAGAATGAAAAGCTTACCAAAAACAACAACTAAGCATAACAATGGAACAACAACACAACTGCAACATCAAAAGCCACAAAAACAAGACTTACACTTGGACTACGGACTTCACGTTCGATACGAGCGCAATAATGCTGCATACGTAACATAAGAACAAGCATGCCATCCCCAAGCAGCATAAATATCCCGGAAAACGCAAAAGCTAACATGAAACCGAATGATAGAGCAATACAAGAAACTCACGTGAGTAAACTAACCCATTCAAGGTTTGTGACTGACCTACCATAATTGTCTCCAAGGCGGCAGGCACAAACTAAAAAGCAGCCTACCAATAAAGTCGCTTAAAAATTGTGACTTTTCGTTTTGCACCAGAACGTACTCAACGTGACAGCATATTTGAAAAACTGGATCCATTCAGATGCGTCACAGGCGAAAAAACTAACTCAAATTGCGTGATACGTGAGCACAGAGGAAGAAAGAAATGGTTCTAAAACTGACTTCAGGCAAGTATCATAGAGTAAAAGAGGCTGAAGTAGATTTTCATGTACGCATGCCAGGTTAAACGCTTACACCGCGGCGCCGAACTAGACTTGTGTTTGTTCATGCATCAGCGTATGATGTAAGTGATCAATTACCACCATCAAGAGGTAGATCTGATAACTCCATTTCATGGCGTATTTCGCAGCCTAGTGATATAACCTGAGTGCAACCGTCGTACAAATAGTTGCAGTGAAGTGACGTCATGGTGTACAATTGCGCTGGTAAACGCTCGTGGCTAAACCATTTTCTAGATGGCAGCGGGCGTGATTACTTTCTTAAAGTGAAGTTGCCTAACATATGGGAAATTCGAGCTTTACCCACCGCAACTAACTAATTTTTTCGCTATCAGGTTCATATCGTTCATAACAAAAGAGTCGGCTAGATAAGGTAACCTGGTCGTCACAAGACATGCGGCTCAGTGCGATCTGAAAATGAAGTTAACTGTGTGCCATAAAATGAAGGTAGACGAGACTCAAGAACACCTTAACAAATGCTGAAATGCCACGATGCGCCACACTACTAACGATCTTCAGGAATTGTCCTGGTGCAAACTTGACAGACGCAAAGTCCAATCACTAATTATTCGGACTTCTTATATACCCATGAATACGAGACCAAGGAAGAACACGATAGCGTAGTGGGATGGAATAGTATATTTGGATGGTTGTGCCAAAATACCAATGCGGGTAGTGCAACGTGACACGACAGCGTGCCAAATGGCGAGGATGCTTGACCGGGTGCCTTCAGCTCAGCGGGTCTAGTTAAACTATCAAGGTCAACATCAATGTCGAAAGTCGTCAAACCCTAGGCTATTGATTTTGGGGAAGTGTGTGACGCCACAGATCACTCCCCCCTAGTGGGTTCGTGAGGGCCCTAAGACGATACCAGCCAGAAGTAAAAATCCAGTGGTTTCTCCACTGGTAAAACTCTTCCGATGGTCTCACTGCGTGAAGTGGCCCCTGGTTGTCTGAACTTATTCTAGGGTGTCGTGGCAGTTAAATAAATAAAATACAATAAATCGAATTGTACGTCGATCGCGGTCATCAGTTCCTTTTGACGTTCCGTCCAGTGCTCGTTACACCTGGAGTATAAATAAAAGTCTTTAATACCACGAAAACGTTTCGTAAAAATGGGAATTATTTACATATAAACATATCGAAAAATAAAAATTTACGCTTATCTTCACCGCGTTTTTTTAAAAGTTTCATTATATGGTAATAAAAATTGATATAAAAAAGGCAAAGTGTACGAGGGTTTGTATTGAGGTATCGGGTAGCAGTCCGGAGTTGTTTTGGCGTTAAGGCCTCGGTAATCACCGGTTGGACGCCAGTCGTTACTGTCCTTTTTGGGGACCATGTACAGTGGCTATGCCCAAGGCCTGTTTGACGGTCTGATAATGCCCAGTTCGCTGTTTTGAGCTTACTGGGGGCTAGACGGCGCACTTTGGATGCCACAGGTAGACCTGTGGTTGTCACATGATGCATAACATTGCTGGTTATGCACGGAAGAGTGTGCTTCGGTTGCTGCAACTCTGGATATTTCTCCAAAACTGCTTGGTAGGACGCGTCGCCTGATTGTTTGGTTCTAACGATGGCTAAACTCGGACCTACATAGGTGGTGCCGTCAATAGATAACTTTGTGTTGTTATCTATCGGTCGTCGACGGCGAGCATCTACGAGTAGATAGCAATGGTTTAGCAAATCTATGCCAATGATTATCATAGAAACGTCAGCAGGAGGAAAATCCAGTGGATAGGTTTACGTAAACCTAAGTTGAGGTAGGCATACTGTCTCCCGAATGTCGCGATTGCCTTGCCGTTGGCTGCTTGAAGATTGAAGGATGGGTCAAGATGACGCTCCTCTGTCAGCGCGGGAAGAACGCTAACTTCAGCGCCGGTGTCGACGAGGTAGCGGACTTTCGTTTTAATGTCGGTGACGTAGAGTAAACGGCTGTTTCCGCCGGCTACGGTTGCCGTGAGCACGTGCCGGCGTGACCGTTTCCCGAGTTTGTGTCCTTCTTAAAACGGCATGGTTTCCGACATTTTCTGGCTTCGTTTCCGTAAGTGTTATGAAACCAGCACCATTCAGGGTTTTCCACCCTGTTAGGTTTAGTTTTGGGGGAACCACGCAAGTTGCCGCAATGCGCCAAGGTGCGTTTCTGTGAAGTGCTACGTGAGCTGTGACTTTGAGATCGTAGCAACTGTTTAACAGAGTTGCACAGCTTCGTCACCTCTGAATCCTGGCTCTCTGGTTTATCGCAGACAGAATATACGTTGGAGACGGGTCTGCTAGAAATCTCCAGTATTTTATCTGCCGAGGCTGTCAGGTCATCGAGTGGGACTGACTGCAGTGTCACCAACACGGTTTGCACCGGTTGTGGTAGTTTCCAGAGAAATAGTTCTCGGAAAAGGCCATTGTCGAATGTTCGTCCACCGATTACTTCTCGCATGCATGCGAGGACTTCAGTAGCTGAGTGGCTGCCTAGCTCGATGTTACGAAGCAATTCGTCTAGGCGCTGACCATCTGTCAGATCGCTTTTCTTCAACAGTGCGGCCTTGAGAAGTGCATAAGGATCACTTACTTCAGGATTAAACATGTGTGCTGTAACATGCCTGTTTAATTCTCGCGGTAGTGAACGTATGACGGCAAGAAATCGAGAACGAGGATCTGAGACACCCTGTTCTAGAAAATCTGCCTCGGCATTCAGAAACCATGTTTCCGCATTGTCTGGCCAATATGGCACGAGTTGGATCGTGTTCGTAGTCGGCTTAATACGAACAAGCTTGGGAGTGTGGTCGGACATGAGAAAGTGTAGTAAATGGATATATAAATGTTGTCGAAATGAAAACAATATACAAATATAAAATGGAACAGGCTCACCAATTCAATATTTGTTATTGGTCGGGATATGTGATCACGTCAGGCTCACCAATTTAGGATTTGTCCTGTTGCGAACTTGACAGACGCAAAGTCCAATCACTAATTATTCGGACTTCTTATATACCCATGAATACGAGACCAAGGAAGAACACGATAGCGTAGTGGGATGGAATAGTATATTTGGATGGTTGTGCCAAAATACCAATGCGGGTAGTGCAACGTGACACGACAGCGTGCCAAATGGCGAGGATGCTTGACCGGGTGCCTTCAGCTCAGCGGGTCTAGTTAAACTATCAAGGTCAACATCAATGTCGAAAGTCGTCAAACCCTAGGCTATTGATTTTGGGGAAGTGTGTGACGCTACAGATCTACAATACTGAGTTGTCGGAACTAAAATGAGCACATGTGTCTTCTAGTCATATGTTACATTATCTGGAGCCACTATTTTAGATTTACTAAACCGTTCACACAAGATCTGGTTCTGTGGATAACGGTTTGTCAAAGACAACCTATTTCGTCACTCTTTCACAGTATCAAATGTCAACGACGAAAGTGTGTACCATGTCTGCTGACCTGGGTTTAGCTGTGATGATTTCATTCAGGATTAAATGTTCGTTAAACCCGTGTGGAAAAAATACCTAACTATGATGTGATATTCGGCAAAACATTGAGAAGAACTCCCAAAGTCTTCCAAACTTCGTACTTTCGATTACAGGTTAGGAAACAGTATGTGGACACGCATATTTCATTAACGCTACATAGACTGAATAACTTATGGGTTAGGTGCAGCACTTTCACTGACTAATGCGTGCCACTGAAATGCCAAAACTACCACCTACTGCTTGCCTAGCGTGGGTAATGAAAAAGAAGTGCGTCGAGGATGGTGAACTTAAGCTAGCAACGTGACCGAGCATAGAAAACCTTTATCAAACATTCAAACCTGGAGAGTAGATTCGCAACAAAACACAAGAATTGCATCAAATATAAGAAATGCGTTGAAATGACGATATTCATTTGAGAGTTGAATTAAAGGCTCGTAATGTTTGATATACCTAACAAATTCTAATCCTAGATGTCATCCAAAACTATTAAAACCTGAATAGGAATCTTATTGCATAAATCCAAATTGAAGGTCACCTTCTTCCTTTTGTTTTAACTACTCGAAGTGATCTATTTGTAAGGTTTCAGCGCAGTGTATAACCATCTGGGCACCGTTCTGGATGGTTTGTAGAAAACTTGGGTGTACTTATGGATGTATATGGTCGTGATGCAAGTGATCATTATGCTGACACTTCTGAAGGACCTGTTAAAGTTTCGCAGCCTAAATATGACCCATTTTTCACAAGAAACTTGAGGGTTATAGAAGACTTGCTATTTGATGAGAAACGTTATCATTGCACTCCAGGATTTTGCGTTTTACAGTCCCCTGCAAGAACAACATGGATGAGACGCTCCCTTTTCAACTGGCTGAGAGATGTAGGTTGAGATTTTTCGAATTAATTGACATCCAGATTTGCATTCATCGTGGCACGGATGGTGAAGTCCTGGCGCATACTGCTCAGCTGATCGACCGTTACATGCACTTAGTTCCAACTGAACAAGATGAATACCAACTTGTGGGTGCAACATGCTTTTCATCTCTAGTAAACTAAAGGAGACTGTACCTATTGCATTGAAAAAAGTTGCTGAATATACCGCTAATTCATTAACAGAGCAAGATGTATTAGTAAGATCCCATTCTCTTATTCGTTTACACTTCAGGCTAAAGAATTGACTATCTGTATATCGCTTGTGTGGATTTAACATGTATTACTCCTGTAGATTTTATTGCACCTGTGGTCGAATTCCTCGAGTTCGTTCCTAGTTTGCGTCAGATAATCCGTCAGGCTGCTCTTTGTGTGTTTATCAAGGTTTTTCATGGTAAGAACTCGATAAGTTTCTTTCATAACCTTATTGCATCAGGGTTGTGTAAATTATTCTGTATGTGTTTAAAGTTGGAATATTAGCTAACTGTAACATCAAAGAAAGCTAATCATCACTATTTGCGTAGTGGTTTAAAATGCGAATTTCGAGGGAGCATGAAAATTTCATCCACTCGAAGTGCACACTTGATTACTTAGATTTCTACCTCATGTTTAGCTTCAAGTTTGTTAGGATTTAAGCATTCACAGTGTCAGCAGTTCCTCGAGGAAACGAACACATCAATCTTTTCGGTCCACTAACCATCACTAAAACTTTGTGCAGACGGCCTGCTTTGGGCATCGCGATAGTAATCTCTGCCACTTGCTCCTATAACTACTTCCACTTGTCAGGCATTCTATGGGGCAACCGGCACTCCGCAAGATTTCTTTAACTTTGTAACGAAGATCAAACCTGAATGATCATTAAGGTATGCTGTACACTTTGAAAGTAACTGGAAATCTCTAGTGTAACTCTGCTAGTTTATGGCTAAATGTTGTAACGTCTGGTTGGTTTAACGGCTTTTTTTTAATTTGGCCTCGACGACTAAACGTTTTAACGCTATTAATTAGAGAAGCCTGGGTTAACCAGTCCTCAGATGAATAGATCATCAATATCGACATAGAACTTGGGATTACTACGCAAGTCTAAATTGCCACATGTCAGCACATCATGTATAAGATGAAAAGAAAAACCGGTTAAAAGCTGTGCAAAGTGCTCGAAGAGGAAGAGAAAATGAAGAAATCCTGAATTTGGAATAGCGGTCAAGATTAAAATAGTGCATGGATACCTACAGTTCTAAGCCACATCACCTGGACTCCCCAAACGTTTGTTTCGGTTGTCACGTGACCTCATAGCAGGTAATCACAAGATGCAAACCGATTTTCATCTGATGTTAAATTGTTTGTGACGTTTTTCAGGGTTCACTGTCTTGCATATTTTCAGTAACTATATTCTGGTGCGTCATTGTAATGTACTTAGGTATTCGTTTAATAAATTTGTCGTCCCAGTTCATAGTAGACCTCGAAGTTCACACCTCAGCAAGATTAGTAGTACGACGGAGAGCTAGTCTAATTTGTATGCGGTAACTAAAGCTGTATAGTGTCTCAGCTAGAGGCTCCACCTCATATTTGTGTGAGGGACCTCATTTTAGTCATAATTTTATGAATAGTTTCCTCTCAAAGGATCAACCCATTGGGATGAACCAAATCGGGAGAGCTGGCAAATTATTTCAGGCATTTGATATTTTTCATTTTGTGATCAAGGATTGCCTGGACAGGTGTGCATGCTTTTTCGAGAAACCTGAACCTCGGTAAAGATGTTGAAGTGCATCATCTCAGTAAGCAGTGTAAAGCGTTGACCTCTGAAATATGAGAAACGTACATGATGGGATCCAGCACTCAACCGTGTATGAACCTGGCCCAAACCTCCAGGTTTACCATTGAGTAACTAGTGTGCGGCTATTTTGCTTATACCTATTTAAGGACCTGGTCTCAATTGGTTTGTGCACAAACGCGTATAGAGCTGTGACTGAATGGTCAAAAGTTGGCTTTTAACCTGTAGACTACTAATTCGAATCCCACTCCACCTACTGAAATTTAGGTAGCTAGATAGTGTGAATAACCTCAAAGGGGGTGGCTGCTTCCTCGTGAAACTGCATGTGGTTCCTGAGAAAGTTCAGTCTAGTACAAATGTGTCGCTGAGTTGCCATTAAATACAATACAACCATGCCAAACTACTCAGTTTCGTTGCAAATTACTGCTTCCAAATCGTATAGTACACAAATAATTATTGAGTACAACGCGTTGTGAATCGCAAGCACTAAGAACTAGTCTTTATTTGTTTGTAAGGGTATGCGTCATCTGTCGTGGCAAGTGAACTGATGTTACATGGCACTTGACTGTATTGCATGCAGTAATCGTTCCTGCTGACCGTAGCATCAATTTCTTTGTCGTCACACTAAACAGCTCAAACTTCCCTGATGAATAAAGGGTGATAACTAAGGTACAAACTACTCAACTAGGATTCTCACCTCAAGCTTGTTCATTTATTAAGTGGTCGTCAATTATCCATTATTTCATTGACTAAGGTCTTCAGAACCTTAAAAATCAATGATAAGAGAGTGTTGGGGATGTGGATCACAAAGGTTCAGATATATACACGCTTTCTCATCTACAAAGTCTTGAGATTAAACTCTCAGTTTTACTCTTATACGCTTTTTTCAACTTTCGTTGGTCTCGGATACACCTTTTTTGCATCTTGGTATGAAGCGTGGCAACTTGAACGGTTGTACTTCTGCTCCAGTTTTTACGTTGATATTTCTGCTTAGTGACTTTAACCATACTGTTAATCTCTTGTAATAAGAAATGGTAGTTGCATCTTAGTTATCCTCCAACCTTCAAATGGCAAACAAGTGGTCTACTGGTGCGCAAAGTGTGATCGCTCCATCTTTCTAGTTCTCGTACTTCTGGCCTACATACGCCAAAAAATTGGGTTGTCAGTCTGTATTTTGTCTGATATTGTGTACAAAACATTCAAGGAAACTAGCTCATAATTGCTTTATTCTTACTGTTACTAAGAGCCTTTCACCTAATTAACTGTTTTATAACTCTATCAGAAGGATTTTGTCTTTCAAATGCAATCGCAATGTCATAGGTTAGTTGAAATGTTAGTCACTTCTCTTATTATCGTTCCAGCGGTAACAGAAACGTTTCGATGACTAGGCTATCCACTAAATTACCACTGAAGAAAGTTGATAATAGCCTACAGTAAATATTCCGCTAGTTTTGTACGCCGAGTGGTGTCCGTCGAGGATAACCACCCTCCATTCTTATTTAATTTCGTCATGGCCTCCCTCTCGTTATCTGACATTACAGCTATTCGTCTAGTCACAAGAAACTTATTAATAGACCTTGAGTACGCAGATGATGGTTCTGTTAGATGAAGACGGTGATAAGTTGCAGTGTTTACTGGGCACCGTAAGTAGCAATTTGAGAAGTTTTCGAGATGTTTTTCATTGCCTGAAACTGTTGATCAAAGAGTGATATTTGCTAATAACCTGTCTATAAACAAAGTAAAGTAGTTGGGCACTTTAACCACTTCAAAAGTCGGTTGAGCTGTTGTGAATCGGTGTTCAACTAAAACGTGTACATAAACGAAAGGTTGGTTTGGCCTTCTCCAAATTTCTCCATTTAAGAGATCAATGTGCTGTGCTGTACTTCTCTTTGTTCTAATACTTGTATGTGAAAGATAAGGATTACATGTAGAAGCAACAAGGTTTTCAGTTATTCGACCACTGTCGCCTTAGTAGCACTGACCATGTCGTGGTGCAACCACCTCAGTGACGCAAAACTCAGGCGTAGAGTTTTGGGCAGAAGAGGGAAGTCAGTTGATGAGGTTGTTAACCTTCACCGATTAAAGCGACTGGGGTTTGTTACTCATGCCCAGTCACCATCTGCTGTCACTCATTTTTGGCTAAATTAGGTTCATGCTGGGATAGGTTGGATGTGACCAGACTAAAAAAAGAGCATCACTCCTTTCGGTTTGAGCCGTGTCCTCGGTTTAATATATATTGACTTGGCAAGTAAATGTGTGATCAGATTGTTCGAAATGTATTGCGCAAATACATCACATTGCTCAGATAAACTTCGTCTTCTAATTACGCCATCGAAATTCATAAAAGGAACTAACTGTTTCAAATGAAGATTTCTTAATATCTCTTTGGCAACCAAAATCATAGGTTAGATATTGTAATCAGTACGGCTCACAATCAGTCTCGATCGACACATCTTCGTTCTAGTCGTCGTTTCGAATTTCGGTATCTTCTCTGATGACTTCCTACCTCTCTGGACTGCTTTTTTCTTTATCTTTCATCGTGATGCATTCTTGTTTGGTGTTTTCGTATGAGATACGGCAACTTCGACTGTTACGCGGCAAAGTCATAACGTCAACTGACAACATTTTCCCTATCGACCCATATCAGCCATTACGCTAACGTAGTATCGTGTCTATAACCCAACTGCAACTTCAAAATTACTTCTGTATTTTGCTTGACACCTGCTCACTTCAGATCTGCCAACATTTATAGGCGCTAACATTAGTGTACAGTTACATCGGCCAAGTGAAACGTCCCATTAGTGGTTACCATATGCTTTCTAAAATATTGAAGTACGAAACCACCACAATTGCACCGCTGTTTTCAGGACGAAGCTTCTGAAGTCGAGAGATAAAGTTGATGTTAGTCTGAGTTTTAGGATTAGCTTTTGCAGGTTCTTAACTAAATTACTCAATCTGGCTGCCAAGCGCTGACTAATCAGTATATTCTAAAAATCGTGTAGCATTTATCGTGTAATCGTTGTTTTTCCGATGCCATTTTTGTTAAGATCATAATTTGCGATATCCACATTCTAGTTATCAACAAAGCCACGGTAATCTTCAATGGAGATTTACTTATTATTTGCATCACGATCTGAAAGTCCAACCTGTTGTCAGCATCAACACGAAACATGGCATTGCTGCGTAGCGGTCCTAGATGACATATCACATGATAAAACTGATCACACACTAGTAAGTGCTATGCAGGCTCGTAGTTAGGGTAGCGTGACCAAGACTGATCTTTGATCTATTTGTTGTAGAAGGTAATAAGGATCTTATGTAGGCTCAGCTACGTAAAGGTCATGCCTTAGGCGACAAACCACACATTTCGTGAAGCGTATGAAACCGTCCGGCACCCCAAAACTTGGTAGGTGGGTTGAGTTCACGCAACTCAGTGACTTGAGACGTCAGATATGGCTCGTAATCAAAACCAGTAGCGATCATGCTGTAGCTTCCTCCTATCTTCTGTTGCTGAAAAGTAATGAGTGTCTCGAATGTTCTTTACTGAACTGCCCTTCTAGTCATGCTATTCTTACTGTTTTTCTTTCTTTATTTACCTCCCATCGTCTATATCTTCACATTTTGAGGCACAGTTCTTGATGCCCTCGCTATACTATGTTAGTGTGACAAATATATTAAGGTGGGTTTGGGTCCAGGGTGGTTCATTATGTCACTGCTTTTACTAATAGTCCGTATATCCCGTCAGCAATATGCTCTACTCATCTTCAATAGCCATCCAAACTCTTCGCTTAGTCTAGAGTTTTCAAGCAGGTTAGTACCTCAGCGAATCTTCTTTTGATTAAGAGTAAGCTTTGAAATGGTGTCCCACCAGATCTAAAATTCATGCCGCACATTCCTGAGTTTTCGTGGACATTTACGTTATACATTTTGTCAGTGTTCGTGCTTAGTAATGTTCTAGTAAGTACCAGAGCAACACAGTGACTTATAAGAAGTCAATGATGGTGCGATTTGTTGGAAATGCACTTACACCAAAATTTGAAGATAGGGACAGCTAACTGCACTGAATAGAACCATTATTTTTAGGAGTGAAGTGTAAAAGAAAAATCTCGTTCATCACCTGCAGAATTTTGAGATCAAAACCTCGATGGATAAGATTTGCGTAGGGACGACGTGCCTAATAGTCAAAACGCGCAAGTGACATGACAGCAGCAACTGCATCTGCCAGCAGTAAAGAACCACAAAGCACCCAGTTCTAACAACTTGACTCCAAATATTTTTAAGAATATGAGTGACACACACGAGTCGGAGGACTTCCTATATTGACATAGCTTTACAACAAGCCATTACTCCAGTCACCATCAAAAGTTTCCACGTAGTGTGTTTGGTACCAGTAACGTCTAAAATATTGGTTGCTGTCATACTTCACAAGTTGTGCAGAACTCATAAATTAATCCGTAAAGAGAAAACCGCGTTTCATGCAGCTTGTAGATCCATTGATAGCATATTCATCCTGCAAATCCTCGAAAGCCATCATGTACTGCACGGCAACAATTGATTAGTTTCTGCACTCTATATTTGTCCTTGATTCTTTCAATAGAACTTTTCTGGAATCCTCCATTGGAGGGAGTCTTCAACACAATAAGAGCCCCACATTTAAGCACAAAGTGAGAGCATACATCCAGCTATCTCTACTGTTTCTAACCAACATAAGGGTTAGGCATAGCCAACCGACTTTTCTACTTCTCTTTTACTTTGCCATCAACGAAGTCCTCAAAATAAATCTGAAAGTGCGTGGTGGTGGTGGTGGTGGTGGTGTGGACCTGTTACCTAGTGAGAGGATTTCCCATCTTATATATACGGACGATGTCGTTTTACTTTGTGACAAAATATAGGCTACTCAAGTGGGACTCAATCAATCGGCATGCAGTGTCCGTAGGTACGGTGTGTGCTTTGCATCATCGAAGTACTTCTAAAAGGCTGGTGTAAGCCTGCACCTGAACTCACCATTGTCGGTTAATCTTGGAGGTTGTTAAGATGTTCGCGTCGCTGATTAGTTGTATGAATACTAGTGGAGGTGATATTCGTTTGTCTATTAAGGGTCACGTGTACTTCACAGCAGTCCGCTCTGTTCTACTGTATGGCTGTGAAACATGGCCACTGAAAGTGGGGGATACAAAAAGGCTTCAGGTGTTTGACCACCGTTGCCTTCGTAGTATAGGACATATTCCGTGGTGTCACCATGTAAGTAATGCAGAAGTTAGGTGTAGAGTTTTGGGGAGAAGAAGTAAGTCAGACGACGAGGTTGTGAACCTTCATCGACTGAGATGGTTGGGACACGTACTACGTATGCCTAGTCACCGATTGCCTCGTCACACAATGTTGGCTGAGGTAGGTCCAAGCTGGAAAAAGGCTCGAGGTGGCCAGACTAAAACATGGCACCAATGTATGAAGTCTCTGACTGTTGGTTTAAGCCATGTAGGACGATGCAGACTAGGTGGTTGGGGTCCACGGGACAAGAGGAACCAGTGGTTGGAGACCCTAGGTGATATGGCTGAGAACCGATGTTAGTGGAGCAGATGTATACACACATTATCCTCATCTTAACAACGCTATACCGAATCTCACTATTTTGTCACTCCTCTTTCCTTTCTTCTCATACTTTATATTTCTTTTGACTGCATTCACTTATCTTCATCCTTCACCTCACTACCTTTTTACTTGATGTGCTGATATGAGGTGTGGCAACTCGGACCGTTACGCAGTAATGCCTGGTCCTATGTTGATGATGATGATGATGGAGGTGTAATTGACGGAATTCTCAACTGAGTATCGACAACCGTAGTGGGATGCTCCAATCTGTATCACCTTTGGTGTTGTCATGACGTAGACCTTGCTCCAAATGTCCAGAGTTATGTCTCGATCTGAGCATTCCTCCAACTTCTATCATTGTGCTTCAAGGCTAGGCATGTGCAACACATTGCCAAACCACCTCGACAACTGTTTGCCTGACGTCTACATTCAAGTTTCAGAATAAAATATGTAGACAAACAGGAAGAGTAGCAATGGGATCACCAATATCCCCAATTGTAACAGATATATTTATGCGAAAACAGCTTTATAAACGTTTAATCCTGCACCTAACATATAGTGGCTATGTGTGAATGACATATTTACTGTGTTGGGATATATCGACAACTTCCTCGCGCATTAACTCAGTAGTAGACGCAACCTAATTCACTTAAGAGGTAGATGAACAAGGAGAATTACCTGTGTTGGATTGCAGGGTGGCTAAGGACATGGTGGTTTGGATATTGCCGTCTACAAGGAATCGACGCATTCTGACAAGTATCTTGGCCTCAGCCCATCTCATCTCAGTTAAGGCAGGTTTAGTCATATGTCTAAATGGTAGAATTAGAAAAGTCACTAGTTAATCTCAGGACTTAAACAAAGAATTTATTAAGAAATTTGTACCAACATAAGGAACAAAATAATAACAGTAGTACAAGTACGAACAATAAAGATAACACTGGTAGGAGAGTTCGAAACTTCCATTGTGTTACCCTATAAAGAAGGAACATCAGAAGCTTTACGTAGGATTCTCAACAAGACTTAAATTAGGATGGTATTTTTACCTATAAACTCACTCAAAGGTAAGCTGTGACGTCTTAAGTATCCGATATAATCAGTTAAGCAAAACAATATAATTCCGTATTAGATTTGTTTATTTGATTTATAACACAGTAATAGAGCATTACTTGATTGTTGTAAATAATAATAGATATTTTATTACTGTGTTATAAAACAAACAAATGTAATGTAAAACTGAATTCTACCACAGGACCCAAGGTTTATGCTTTGATTAGTTATATAAAAAGGTATAGGATCGTTTCGGGAATCTGGTCTCTATGCTTAGTCGTCGGTTTTTTGCATCAAAAAGTCACACATAAAACTGCCTAACATTTTAAACCCAAAAGCGTTAGTCACTCAACACAGCTGTCTATCTTGACTGGTAGTTTATTTAATCAGGTCCCAATTGTTTGTTCGACGGTAGAACACAGTTTCTAGTGCTATAGTTTGCCGTTTCCTTAGACCACAGATAGTTATCACGAGGTTTGACTTAGATTTTAATCTAAATATGCCAACTACGCGGCACCGATTTACTTACCTTTCTGTGAGCCATACTTTTCGTGTGAGGATTCGTGATACAACTCAGTCGTCTACGGCAGGACAGGAGAAATATGACTTAAATCCAGGACCATCTGATTGAAAGTCTAAAGCCTGAGCCGAAACTACTAATCTTCCGAGTACATTGTTCGACTCAGCTCGCAAAGTCCGTAGACAGGCGATAACTAATAATATCAGTGTGAAATGCCAACTTACTCTACAGGGGATATAATGATAACTAACCTAGCATATGTGGTCGTGGTTAGATTTTGTTACATATACAAGAAGTGCTTGACAATAAAAAATATGTTTTCTTCCATACTGTTGATATGACGAAACCAAGCACAATGATGTATTCCATCCCGCTTATCGTAGTAGAATTCCCACATTAATGCTATGTACGCAAACCGCTCGTTTATTCAGACCATGTACTACCTCTTGAAAGTCTTAAAATTCTTCAGAGTTTGTTTCACTGATTGTTCTGATATATATTGTATTCTGATTAATTTCACAGAGCAAGTGGATGTCGTTTTTCTTTTACGATTAAAGATTCAATGTTCAGGAAGGGCACTTCCACCACTCACCATTTAAATTTGACACTCATCTATGATGAATTATTTCCGTATGGTAAACAGGCCTTTCTGTACTAATTGCTGCGGACGCAGTTTCCTAAATTCTTATAACATTCTTCAATTTCTGCGTTTGAATTTGTTTGTTTGGATTTACTTTTGTTTTTACTTACAGTCGAAGAGCTTGGAAATTACATGCCTAGCTATATGGCAGCAGCGTGCATTCTCTATGCACTCAATTTAACCGTACATCGCGATTTAAGTGAAGTTGCCATCCGATCTGTTACTCTCATACAGCAAATTTTAAAGCTTGAGGCGGTAAGTTTCTTTAGATTCTATTTGTTTCAATGTCTTTTAGTCATACTTTTATGATTTCCCTCATTTCAAAAGGAGTAAATAAAATGTTTTGACGCATTGACCACTTCACTTATCTGAAAAGTTGGATCACACTTGCTGGGTCAGTGGCTGACGACATCTTGACAAAAATGAAAAAGGCTCGATTGACTTTTGTCAATTTAGGGTCGAGTATATTGTACAGCTGTTCACTCGGTTCTACTCTCTGGCTACGAGTCATGGCCACTAAAGTTGTAAAACGTAAAAAGTGGCTCCAATAATTTGACTACTGTAACCCCACCAAAGTTGTCAATTTTCACTGACTGAGGCGTGTTTCGCATGAGAAGTAGATCTTAGTTCAACGCGCTATAACCCTTGATATGTTCCAGAACCCATCTACTTAATCCAGATATATCCGTATCTCATACTTATCTTGACCATTTTATCCCATTTCGTTAGTTGCATTCATCCCTCTTCTTATTTTATAGCTTTCGATGACTCACTATATTGTTTACATTTGTATCCCCTCTTTTCTTTTGAATGGAACTTTTACATATTAAATAAATTAAATACCAACCTAAACATCTTATTTTACGTAGATACGGGGATTATTCATTAGCGAAGGTACTTTCCAGTGATGTCCCCAGGATTCGATGCTCTTCTACTTCTACCTAGACAATCAAGAAGTATCATAAACCCTGACACAATGTGTGATGCGCAACCTGGTAAATATAACTGCGCGACGTCAATGATTTACGCAGATAACTGACAGATATCTAAGGTTACCTTACATTCAAAACATAAAGTTACTGTTTACAAAACTACATTGTAAGCTCCTCATCTTGATTTCACATATGAAATGTCAACTGAAAGAAGTACCTTATGTAGATACTTTTCACTTCGTTCACACTGCCATTAAAACTCAGTTTTGCTCTCCGGCATATGGTTTTATACACTTAGTTTCATCTATATTAAAGCAGCTGATCTAACCTCAGAAATTAAAAATATCTAAATCTAATTGATTTCCAAGAATTTTCCTGTTTTCTGCAGTATCATTCAATCATCTGAGGCTTTTATTAGACTTTGGGTTCGTCAAGTCGAGAAAAAGGGATCGGGATTCTTATATATATATATATATATATATATATATATATATATATATATATATATATATATATATATATGACAATGTATAAGTCATCATTTTGTCGCTTTTTTTCGTTCTCAATTACAATAAGTTCGTTCTGTACAATTTTAAACTTTTCTAATTACAGCGAAAGATGCGTCAGGTTTATCAGGTCCTTCAAGCTTGTTTCGAGCCTGGCACAGTGCAACTTTCAAATTCTGTACTATTAGGCGATTTAGAACCTCCTGACAGCCCTGCTCCTGGAGACCCAACTCAGATGACTCATCAGTTACTTCCATCTGCCACACAATCAATCAATGCACCTGTCTTACTTCCGATGACTACTAGTGTTTTCATCCATCCACATCTTGGCGTTTCCAACCAGCCTTTGCTGTCTTCTGTTGATATCCCTATATCCGCCTCTATGATTTATGTAAATAACGGTGTCAGTTTTGATCATATTTCTATACCCACAACATCTGCTTCGATTTCAGCTTGCTCTACCTCATCTCCTCCTTCAGAAGCCGAAACTTTGGGATTAAATGAGCTGGAAAACGAACCGTCTCGGTGTGCTTACAACAATAAACCCCGGTTATCCATGCCCATAATCCATTATCCCCACAGTAGACAGTTTTGTCATCATTCCAATGTAACAGTTACTGGAAATTTGCGTGAACGTAAACTGGTCCCATTAGTTTGGGAAAGTTCAGTTTCGGATTGGACAAATCAGTATAAATGAAGTTTTTCACTCTAATGTAGCATTTCATTTCTTCTGCTTTTAAAAAGGCAATTGGTCATATGTATTTTCTAATTTCTTTATTTGTATTTTTTTGTACTTCATTTTTACGGGATTATTCACCTACTATTTTTGCAACCCCCTAATCAAAGTCTATTTTTTTTGAATATATGATCATTTCTAACTGTTTTTAATCCCATAAACGCTGGCACATTGTCCATGTGTGTTTTTTTACATACCTCTTACTTTTATACAAAATTTTAGCCCCTGTTTTCTTTTCTTCATTATAATAAGAAAAAGTCTGTCTGTAATTCACTAACCTTTCACGTCCTAAGAATAATCAATCATGTGGTTTTTCCTTCAGTATTCAGATTCACAGTAACTCGATGCTTCTAGCTCCCAAAGCGCATTAATCTGCTGCACCAAAATGAACTGTAAGAGGGTATCCCTACTTGCAAACGTCATAATAAAATGGATCGTTCAGTTTGTAATGATTACAATAAAAGAAAGGTGTTATCCTCTATCCAACTAGTCTTTATCCTTCTAAAGTTCACCTTTTTGATTTTGAACTAATATGTGCCGGCGAGGTGGATATTTAACGAATTTCACACTACCCTATGGCTATGATGTTGGTGGTCACTGCTAACCTGACCGACAGCTGTCAGCTTAACGTAATGGTCGCACTTGCGTGTATCGTAACAATCCAGTGAACCATGCCTGTTGAAACTTTTGCTTTTTTAGGTCCTACCGTATCGAAAAGGCCTACTGGATAATGATTAAGAAAAGTAGTTAACTACATCGATGGTAAAGTCATACTGCTGACTCAGTACAGCAGTAGTAGAGTGTCTCCTGCGGATGACCAGCAGTTCACGACGCTCGTTTGTTTTTTTGGAAAAGAAGACGGTCCAAAAAGTGGCGTACTCCACTTTTGCTCCAAAGTCTTTCGTCCCCGGCTGTATAAAGTAACCTCATGGTGTGGGAAGCGTCAACTGCCATACGCTCAAGATATCACCAACCTGTCACGTCTTTGTCTCCTAGTTGTTCTTCATAGTCCTTAGTAGCGACTTAAGACCACAAACCAAACATTGTTTCCAGTGTCGCCACCCTCCGTTAAGTCGAATCATAATTTCCTCTAGCTAGAACGGAGGTTATTTTCGTGTGCTGTGCAACAGGCATAACTATTCACCTGAAAAATATGGTGCATCTGTAAAATTAAACCTTTGAGTTGTCTATATCTCCTCGTCGTAGGTTCGTATATGTAGGTTAATAGTTAGGTTCTAAGGCAAAAAAAATTGCTGCTTGGTTAAGTCTCACCTGACAGGACCCTGTGCACCCGTTAACTGTGTAGTGCATTTGAATTTGAGGCCAGTGACCATTACTGTGTTTTGTCCCTATGGTTTTTGTCTACCGACCCACTGACTACTGTTTGGTGAATTCACACTCTCCCACCGTAAATCGAATATTCTGATATGGTCGTAGCTGCTGACTTCACAAAAAGGTAGGCTGAGCCAGGCAGAAAGATGCTACTTTCTGTATTTCAAACGAACCAATGGGTGATGATTGTCTTATTTCTAGCCAGGACGAATTTCATAAGTAAGGCTTACACCACCTGTCATCTGGAGCACTATCTTTAATACGTTAATATAATCATCTCTTCTACGCTTCTATTGATTGTCATTTGATTTCTACTCACTTTTTTCATCCTGGCGTGAAGTGTAGGAGAAAAGAATAAAGTGGCGATCGATAACAGTAGGTGGTTGATTTAACTTATCAAAGAAATGTGAGTGAAAAAGTTTACGGCAACGGAGGTGGGTAGGTCTGCGATTCAGCTGCAAGGCAACTGATTAGGATAATGGACAGAACTCTTCGATTGGCAATCCAACTGGCCTCCAGAGATATTTTGGTTGCCCATTATCCAGTCGCATCCTGATTCGAACACTGGCTTAAGGCCTCTAGCGGTTACGAAATCCGATGAGATGGTGAGTGACTTGAAATGAGGAAGAGTTGCAGGTCCTCGTGGCCCAGTATGATTGATTTGATTAGCTATGGAGTGTTAGCTGGTGTATAGAAATTAGATATGATCCCATTTGATTGGTATCCATCACTAATTGTCCCAGTCTTCAAGAAAAGTGATCAACCATAGAGGAATCAGTCTGACGAACATGGTATTTAAGATTGTTGGCTCTCCAGTCATTAGATGTCTGAGTGGAGCTGACAATCAGCAAACGGGATAAAATCAGGCAGGCTTCAGACCTCGTTGTGTGTGTTGACTAGGTTTCCACTATGTCTCGGTAGATATCCATACTTGGTGTCACTGAACTCTATCTGTAATTCTTGACCTGAAGTTGACATTCTGCTCTGTCATGCTATTGTGAAGTGTGGCAGCTTGGACCCATGTACTTCTGTGTGTTGGTGTACGGTGATTTTTCCTTTTGACCAAGAGAGGTGTTGCGATAGTGTTTTACTTTGAAGAGAGTACCGAGCTAGTATATGTTGCTACTTCATGCTTTGTACTTGAACTCATCCAAGCGCGTTGGGATTTATGCTAGAGTTATCAGCTGTAATGTATTCGCCAAATGGCATTTTTTTTACTCACGCGAGGATGCCCTGAGCTGAAATGTATGTTTAGCGTTTTATGTCCGTCAGTCGTGAAATGATACTTCGGGAATGGTCTGCACCAACACCTTATGTAAGGATGTTGAGTGGTGGAATACACCGATCACTTCACATATTTAGGGAACTGCATGCATCCGGATGGGCTGCTGTCTGACGAAATCTACGCTTGGGATCACATTTACCGTTTCGCATTTACTGTGGCTGATGCTTGTGAGATACCCGAATACCTATTGAAGGACAAGCCTACTGTGCAACAGGTCGTTATATATTGTCATCCAGGTACAGTACAATTTATAGAAGTAGATGCGAAAAAGGTTACGGGTTTTTGGCCGTGTGTCTAATTGCATTGCTTGTGTATGACGGAATCACCATATGAATTGTTCAGTGGCTAGGTGAAGAGCACTAAGCAAGTTAATGAATGAAACTGAATATTCACCAGCTGAAGTGGCTTGGACATGTGTTGCGCATGTCGAACTGCTGTCTACCTCGATGTATAATGTTAGTCGAAAGTTAATTAGGTTGGAAGAAGGTTAAGGATGACTAGATTAATACATGACATCAGTTGACGAACTTTTTGTTCATATGAGCAGCGTAGAGCAATGTAGATTTCTCAACTGGAGTCTGCTTGATAACCTAAGTCGGTGGTTGGAGGCTCTAGATGATATAGCTATTGACATCTGCAAAAGTACTCCAAATGTACTGAGTTGTTCAGAGTGGTCAGATAGCCCTGAGTCTTCTGCTTTACTTGTTGGGACTGTCATTTATGATCGTGGCCCAATAAGTAGGATTATTATTATTAGTCCCTTGGGTTCCTAGTGGAACATAGGGCTTCAGTAGCACGCCTCCAGTGACCTCTGTTCTCTGAGATCTTTTGAACCTGGTCCCACGACAGCCCAGAAGCTCTCATTTCCTCCTCGCACGACCTCCTCCATGTCACCCTTGGACGTCCAACTCGTCGCTTCCCCTGGGATTCCACTCGAGGGCCTGACACGTGATGTCCTCCGTCGGCCTTCTCAGTGCATGGCCAATCCATCTCCACTTCCTCCTGCATATTTGTTCAGCGATAGGTTTTTGGTTGGTTCGTTCCCAGAGTTCCTTGTTGCTTATTTTTTCTGGCCGTCTGATCTTCAGCAGCGAGCGTAAGCAGTTGTTGATGAATGTCTGTAGTTTATTGGAAATACCTTTCGTGACGCGCCAAGTCTCTGAGCCATACAAGAGCACTGACTTGACGTTGGTGTTGAAAATCCGTATCTTGTTCCGCATGCTGAGTGCAGAAGATCTCCACACCGGTTTCAGGCTAATGAACGCCTGTCTTGCTTTTCCGATTCTGACTTTGACGTCCTCGTCCGTCCCGCCTGTAGTTGAGACAGTGCTTCCTAGATAGGTGAAGGAGGTTACTTCCTTTAAGTTTCTCCCGTTGACGGTGATTGGAGTTTGTTGTTGATGGTGGTGGTGCGGTATCTTCATCACTTCTGTCTTCTCTATATTCACCTGAAGTCCCGTCTTAGCTGCCTCTTCTATCAACTTGTTAGTTTTTGCCTGCAGATCTTCAATTTTGTGTGACATTAGGCACAAGTCATCGGCGAAATCCAAGTCTTCTAGGTTCTTTTCCGTCGTCCAGTGTATCCCCCTCTTCTCGCTGCCTACTGTTTGCTGCATGATCCAGTCCACCACAATAAGGAATATCATGGGGGATAGTAGGCAACCTTGTTTCACTCCTGTCTTCACTTCAAAAGCATCACTGAGCTTCCCATTGTGAATTACTTGGCATGTGGCATCTTCATATAGTTGTTGAATGAGGCGGATAAAGGTTTGCGGTACTCCGTAGTATTGAAGCAGTTTCCAAATTACTTGTCGGTCGACGCTGTCAAAGGCCTTCTCAAAGTCGATGAAGTTGAGGCAGAGAGCTGATTGCCATTCTATGCTCTGTTCTATGATGATGCGAAGCGTTGCAATTTGGTCTGCACATGATTTGTACTTCCTGAAGCCTGCCTGTTCCGGTAGCAGTTTTGAATCCAGTGCATCTTTAAGCCTCTCCAGGATGATGCGGCTTAATATTTTACTTGGGGTGGACAGGAGAGTGATTCCGCGTCAGTTCTTGCAAGCACTGAGGTCTCCCTTCTTCGGGAGTTTGACAAGGTAACCCTTCTTCCAATCGTCAGGTACCTTCTCTTCCTTCTACACCTTCTGCAATAGTGGTGTGAGCATGTCCGCTGTTGTCTCTGCATCTGTTCTCAGTGCTTCTGGCGGTATTCCATCTGGTCCTGCTGCTTTCCCGCATTTCAGTAGCTTTATGGCGTTCAGGACTTCCATTTTCGTTGGGGGATTTATGTTCACTTGTAATTCAGCGGCTGCAGGTGGTATTTCTGGACGAAGTGCATGTGGTG